ACAAATATTTACAATCAATTAGTATGTCACATATGCACTTATTAAATAAGCCAATATTGACTATAAGCAAGTGCGAGAACTGGTTGCAACCGGTCCTAACGCCCGGCCCAAGGTCTCACTCCCACCATGAGGAAAGTAGTGGTGCAGCTTCAGTGGCACCATCGTCATGGGGACCAGCAGCCGTGTGCCACACCGACGCAATTTTTCATCCTTCCTAATAAAATTTATAGACGACAGATTATTTATGTTTAACGCTGCCTTCAGCTGGCAAGTTTAACTTTACCGGTAGTTGGTTACACTTTGTTACTCCAAGTTGCTCCTGTGTGACGAATGGTTCAGTAACAAGTCCCTCCACGTGACGCCCGTCAGTAACAAGGCCCTCCACGTGACGCCCGTCAGGAACAAGTCCCTCCACGTGACGCCCGTCAGTAACACGTCCCTCCACGTGACGCCCGTCAGTAACAAGTCCCTCCACGTGACGCCCGTCAGGAACAAGTCCCTCCACGTGACGCCCGTCAGGAACAAGTCCCTCCACGTGACGCCCGTCAGGAACAAGTCCCTCCACGTGACGCCCGTCAGTAACAAGGCCCTCCACGTGACGCCCGTCAGTAACTAGTCCCCCACGTGACGCCCGTCAGGAACAAGTCCCTCCACGTGACGCCCGTCAGTAACACTCCCTCCACGTGACGCCCGTCAGTAACAAGTCCCTCCACGTGACGCCCGTCAGTAACACGTCCCTCCACGTGACGCCCGTCGTCCACGTGACGCCCGTAACAAGTCCCTCCACGTGACGCCCGTCAGGAACAGTCCCTCCACGTGACGCCCGTCAGGAACAAGTCCCTCCACGTGACGCCCGTCAGGAACAAGTCCCTCCACGTGACGCCCGTCAGGAACAAGTCCCTCCACGTGACGCCCGTCAGGAACAAGTCCCTCCACGTGAGTCAGGAACCCTCCACGTGACGCCCGTCAGTAACAAGTCCCCCCACGTGACGGCCATCACCAACAAGTCCCCCACGTGACGCCCGTCACGTGGAGGGACGGTTAGAATTATATAGGTCCTCATACAAGTATAATCGAAGCTGGAGTCATGTTATCTGAAGATGTTTTATATTCTAGAAAAACAGACAGGCATTGAGAGAAGAGGCAGAGGCCGACAGCCCCCCTCCCATCACGTCTGGCAAACACGAATTTATACCTTGTATAAATTACGAATAACTTGTATTCGAATACAAGTTATTACTTAATTTATACACAAGTTATTAACTAGAATAATATTGTGTTCTTCTGTCAGGGGGTGACAGTAAATCTACCTAACTGTTTACATCTTAACTGTCCAGCTTTCATTGTTATTCTTATTTTTCATGAATAATCTCTATGATTTTCAAGAAAACATTTTTTCTTTTTAAAAGCCGGAGAAGAGCGGAAGCCGCAGACCGAGTGAGGACTTTAGCTTCGTGAGACTTTGGTCATGTTTGTACCATACTGTCCCTAGCACAACCTCCCCCCCCCCCCCCGTGTACCATACTGTCCCTAGCACAACCTCCCCCCCCCGTGTACCATACTGTCCCTAGCACAACCTCCCCCCCCACGTGTACCATACTGTCCCTAGCACAACCTCCCCCCCCGTGTACCATACTGTCCCTAGCACAACCCCCCCCCCCGTGTACCATACTGTCCCTAGCACAACCCCCCCCCCCGTGTACCATACTGTCCCTAGCACAACCTCCCCCCCCCCCGTGTACCATACTGTCCCTAGCACAACCTCCCCCCCCCCCCGTGTACCATACTGTCCCTAGCACAACCTCCCCCCCCCCGTGTACCATACTGTCCCTAGCACAACCTCCCCCCCCCGTGTACCATACTGTCCCTAGCACAACCTCCCCCCCGTGTACCATACTGTCCCTAGCACAACCCCCCCCCCCCCCCGTGTATCATACTGTCCCTAGCACAACCTCCCCCCCCCGTGTACCATACTGTCCCTAGCACAACCTCCCCCCCCGTGTACCATACTGTCCCTAGCACAACCTCCCCCCCCCCGTGTACCATACTGTCCCTAGCACAACCTCCCCCCGTGTACCATACTGTCCCTAGCACAACCCCCCCCCCCGTGTACCATACTGTCCCTAGCACAACCTCCCCCCCCGTGTACCATACTGTCCCTAGCACAACCTCCCCCCCCGTGTACCATACTGTCCCTAGCGCAACCTCCCCCCCCCGTGTACCATACTGTCCCTAGCACAACCTCCCCCCCCCGTGTACCATACTGTCCCTAGCACAACCTCCCCCCCCGTGTACCATACTGTCCCTAGCACAACCTCCCCCCCCCGTGTACCATACTGTCCCTAGCACAACCTCCCCCCCCCCGTGTACCATACTGTCCCTAGCACAACCCCCCCCCGTGTACCATACTGTCCCTAACACAACCTCCCCCCCCGTGTACCATACTGTACCTAGCACAACCTCCCCCCCCCCCCGTGTACCATACTGCCCCTAGCACAACCTCCCCCCCCGTGTACCATTCTGTCCCTAGCACAACCCCCCCCGTGTACCATACTGTCCCTAGCACAACCCCCCCGCCGTGTACCATACTGTCCCTAGCACAACCTCCCGCCCGTGTACCATACTGTACCTAGCACAACCCCCCCCCCCGTGTACCATACTGCCCCTAGCACAACCTCCCCCCCCCCCGTGTACCATTCTGTCACTAGCACAACCCCCCCGTGTACCATACTGTCCCTAGCACAACCCCCCCCGTGTACCATACTGTCCCTAGCACAACCCCCCGTGTACCATACTGTCCCAAGCACAACCTCCCCCCCCGTGTACCATACTGTCCCTAGCACAACCTCCCCCCCCCGTGTACCATACTGTCCCTAGCACAACCCCCCGTGTACCATACTGTCCCTAGCACAACCTCCCCCCCCGTGTACCATACTGTCCCTAGCACAACCTCCCCCCCCCCCGTGTACCATACTGTCCCTAGCACAAGCCCCCCCCCGTGTACCATACTGTCCCTAGCACAACCTCCCCCCCCGTGTACCATTCTGTCCCTAGCACAACCTCCCCCCCGTGTACCATACTGTCCCTAGCACAACCTCCCCCCCCCGTGTACTATACTGTCCCTAGCTCAATCCCCCCCCCCCCCCCCGTGTACCATACTGTCCCTAGCACAACCCCCCCTCCCCGTGTACCATACTGTCCCTAGCACAACCTCCCCTCCCCGTGTACCATACTGTCCCTAGCACAACCTCCCCCCCCCGTGTACCATACTGTCCCTAGCACAACCCCCCCCCGTGTACCATACTGTCCCTAGCACAACCCCCCCCCCCGTGTACCATACTGTCCCTAGCACAACCCCCCGTGTACCATACTGTCCCTAGCACAACCCCCCCCCATGTACCATACTGTCCCTAGCACAACCTCCCCCCGTGTACCATACTGTCCCTAGCACAACCTCCCCCCCCCATGTACCATACTGTCCCTAGCACAACCCCGCCCCCCCCCGTGTACCATACTGTCCCTAGCACAACCCCCCCCCCATGTACCATACTGTCCCTAGCACAACCCCCCCGTGTACCATACTGTCCCTAGCACAACCTCCCCCCCGTGTACCATACTGTCCCTAGCACAACCCCCCCCGGGTACCATACTGTCCCTAGCACAACCTCCCCCCCCCCGTGTACCATACTGTCCCTAGCACAACCCCCCCCCGTGTACCATACTGTCCCTAGCACAACCCCCCCCCGTGTACCATACTGTCCCTAGCACATCCCCCCCCGTGTACCATACTGTCCCTAGCACAATCTCCCCCCCGTGTACCATACTGCCCCTAGCACAACCCCCCCCCGTGTACCATACTGTCCCTAGCACAACCCCCCCCCCCCGGATACCATACTGTCCCTAACGCAACCCCCCCCCCCCCGTGTACTTACTGTCCCTAGAACAACCCCCCCCCCGTGTACCATACTGTCCCTAGCACAACCTCCCCCCGTGTACCATACTGTCCCTAGCACAACCCCCCCCGTGTACCATACTGTCCCTAGCACAACCCCCCCCCCGTGACCATACTGTCCCTAGCACAATCCCCCCCCCCCGTGTACCATACTGTCCCTGTCAACCCCCTCCCCCCGTGCACCATACTGTCCCTAGCACAACCCCCCCCCCGTGTACCATACTGTCCCTAGCACAACCCCCCCCCCGTGTACCATACTGTCCCTAGCACAACCCCCCCCCGTGTACCATACTGTCCCTTGCACAACCCCCCACCCCGTGTACCATACTGTCCCTAGCACAACCCCTCCCCCCATGTACCATACTGTCCCTAGCACAACCCCCCCGTGTACCATATTGTCCCTAGCACAATCCCCCCCGTGTACCATACTGTCCCTAGCACAACCCCCCCCCCCCCGTGTATCATACTGTCCCTAGCACAACCCCCCCCCCCCCGTGTACCATACTGTCACTAGCACAACCCCCCCCCCCCCCGTGCACCATACTGTCCCTAGCTCAACCCCCCCCTCATGTACCATACTGTCCCTAGCACAACCCCCCCCCCCCTGTGTACCATACTGTCCCTAGCACAACCCCCCCCCCCCGTGTACCATACTGTCCCTAGCTCAACCCCCCCCCTCATGTACCATACTGTCCCTAGCACAACCCCCCCCCGTGTACCATACTGTCCCTAGCACAACCCCCCCGTGTACCATACTGTCCCTAGCTCAACCCCCCCCCCCCTCATGTACCATACTGTCCCTAGCACAACCCCCCCCCTGTGTACCATACTGTCCCTAGCACAGCCCCTCCCCTCCCCCGTGTAGTATGCGGCCCCCTATCGTACCCCTCCCCTCCCCCGTGTACTATGCGGCCCCCTATCGTACCCCTCCCCCCCCCTCATCCCATGTGCCATACAGACCTTAGCCTGTTTAAAGGCACCATAGGCATAATTAGCCACTATAAACACAGTATTCAGTTTAATAATTAAGGAAAGTTGAGGGTTGAACATGGTTTATAATGCATTTATTAAATAGCTATAGAAATTACATTTAAATACCATATAAATACATCAATATCTACAGTATGTAAACTTTGTAAACCAGTCGAGAAAACTAAGAATTTATAAATAGTCTTAAGTTTCATATTCAATATCACAGAACTAAATAAATAATACACTTGGCAACAAAAGGAACTAGTCCCTTACCATAAAAGTAACTTGTGTTTCCATGTATGCACATACAAGTCCCGGGCCAGCAACATTATGAGCAGCGTTGCGAGGTTTTGTGTTATTTGCCATAAAATGTTGGAGGATTTTCACGCTTCAACACAGCCGGCTTCCTCCTCCACTAATGCAGCGAGTCACCGCGTTTGTTGAAGAGAGTTATCGCCGATACAAAACACATTTCTCTATAAAACTTATGGATTTTAATGCTTCAACATGGCCACGGAGCAAGGTTGAAGACGTGAGTGGAGAGTGCGAGGTGTGCGGTAGTCACTCCAGGTCGTGAAGGAACTGGCATCGGCTGCCGTACAGACAGAAGCCTTTGTTATGGAAGCTGAAGCACTGTTTGGTCCGGTACATAGGGTGCCTCGGGTACGAGCGGAGGTCTAGCGACCCGTGGGCGTACAGACATGCGTCTCCGTACCCACAGTAGCCGTTGTACTGGAATGATCGACACAGCTCGGTTTTGTACTTTGTCAAGTCATGGGGGCGACGTCTGACCGGAGATGGAGACGATGTTCTGTACCTCCGTGAGGGCCGAGACAAGAGGAAACTGTCTGACGCCCGCCTTGACCAGGGCAGCAGCCGGTAGCGATGTTCCTGTAGCCTTAATGACCGCAGTAGCTCACCCAACTGTAGACTGCTACTCAGCGACCATTCCTCCTCCTCCTCCTCCTCCTCCTGTCCACTAACACCGCTGGACATCTTCCCTTCTTCCTCCTCAGCATCAGAGTCACTCCGAAGAGTGCTAGAAAACACCAAGTCTTTGTTTGACAGCAGTGAAGCTTCATTAAACCACGGGAAATCATCGCCGTCATCGCTGTATAACCACTTCGTCTTCTCCGATACTTCCCGAATATTACCATAGTGTGACTCCGAGAGGTCAAGATCGAGTGGGCTCATGTTATGCCAAGCTGGACTTTTGTTGACGCCGCGGTCTATGCCGTCACTCCATACTGTGGCAGAGTATGCTGGCGCTGCCTCCAGTATGTCGTGAACCACATCCAGCTTCTGTAGATCCCGGCACTCTCTCATCACGTCTTCCGAGTCGACCACTTGCTCTGCTCCACTGAAATCGGATATCCGTTTAATATTCGACAAACTCTGTCTATTACTATTCTGTGGAAAGTAAATTCCATTTGTACTCGACCTGCCGAGAACGTCGAGTCTGGTAAGCTGGTGGTCGAGTCCACTGGTCACGCCGACAGTATTGCTCAAGTTCTCCCTAATGAAGGCATCGAAAATTGGTTTGACATTGCCGACACTCCCTGGAATACTTTCAGAGGGTTGAAACGAAGTCTTGTGTTCCGGATGTCCATAGACAGGCAAGGACCTGGTGAAGTCTCCGTCAGTCCCTTGTGCTGCTGGAGGCAAGGACTCTGCTCTGGCAGTCAGCGAGTAGGCGACCAAGCTTGGCTCGTACACCAAACTTTCCGTGTTCAGACATGAGAGGTCACTCAAGGGCGAGGGTGATGGGACAAAGCTGAGGTCGTCCTCCAAGGGCCTGGTGGAAGTTATTAAGTGGAGCTCCGGAGCGGGGGTACAGGAGGTCTCCAACAGCCTCCAGGTAATGTTGGCCGTGCGGCTGGTGTCCTCGCTGGCAGGACAGTAGTGCAGAGCCTCCAACACCTGTATAAGGACCAGACTATCAGCAACTCTTCTGCCTATACAACTAAAGACAACATATCTTCCAATATCGGGAGATTACGCACTTATATATAATATATATATATATATATATATATATGTCGTAGCCAGAATGCACTTTTCGGCCTACTATGCAAGGCCCGATTTGCATAATAAGCCAAGTTTTCCTGAATTAATATATTTTCTCTAATTTTTTTCTTATGAAATGATAAAGCTACCCATTTCATTATGTATGAGGTCAATTTTTTTTTATTGCAGTTAAAATTAACGTAGATATATGACCGAACCTAACCAACCCTACCTAACCTATCTTTATAGGTTAGGTTAGGTTAGGTAGCCGAAAAAATTAGGTTAGGTAGTCGAAAGTAACTTAATTCATGAAAACTTGCCTTATTAGGCAAATCGGGCCTTGCATAGTAGGCCAAGAATGCGTTCTGACTACTAGGTACGACATATATATATATATATATATATATATATATATATATATATATATATATATATATATATATATATATATATATATATATATATATATATAAAAATTGAATTCTGTTATCCGAGTGGCAACTTTCAAACACTGAAAAAACAAAGTTTCTCTAAATGACCATCAGCCGCCTTAATTTTGCAACTGTAGACGGCGTCGGTCGGGGTAAATTGTATTACAATACTTGCTACGCTAGTGGAGAAGCAAATTAAATTTTACAATGTAAACAACGGCCATAGACCCAGTCGTGTATGCACTCACGGCTGTAGACTACAAAATGCAATATTACAGCAGCACTAACTGCTCCTTAAATTTCCCCACTTAAGTTGGTTAGATACAAGCGTCTTGACGAGAGCCGACCCGTATTGGCCAATACACCTTCTGCAGCTGCCTGTATTCTCATATCAAGTAATCAATAGCGGAGTGGTTACACCATCTGTTCAGCAGAGTACAATATTAACCGTGATATTTTTTGTATTGATTTATGCATGCACAACAAAGAAAGTAAATAATTATCAATAGAAGGCACCAAACCAGGAAGGCTATGTAGCACCATCAAATGTGCGGGATAATCAGAGGGCGCTAAATATCACCAAGGATGCCAATACGAGAACAAAAACGCACAAGGCGAATGATATCAAAAGTACCCGAGTCGCCACGAACTCTATCGAGGGACAAGCGACCACGGGGGACGGTCGGAAAACAAGACACACGCTCGTCCTGGAAGTCAGGACATTCAACAAGGATATGCACGACTGTAAGAGGGACAATGCAATTTGGACAATAGGGAGCAGGGCGGCGCGCCATTAAGTGACCGTGAATTAAACGGGTATGGCCAATACGTAACCTAACTAGAGCCGTTTCCCACCGCCGGTTATGGTGGCAGGAGGAAGGCCACTGGGACACATGACTTAAGAGTACGCAGTTTGTTACCAATAACAGAAGACCAACAACTTTGCCAGCGGGCAAGGATGGAGGCATGAATAACTGGGTAAAAGTCGGAATAAGGAATACCTTTATGGGAGATGGGACAAGTGCGGATAGCGTCCTTAGCGGCAGCATCCGCACGCTCATTTTAAGGGACTCCAACATGGCTGGGAACCCAGAAAAATGCAACCGACTTAAATTTACTGGAGATAAGAAACAGCCAATGTTGAATCTCTATGACCACCAGGTGGACCGGATTAAAGGACCCTAAAGCCATGAGGGCACTACGAGAGTCAACTACTACCACGAAGGAGGATTGACACCGGGAAAGCAGGAGACGAAGAGCATAGAGAATAGCATAGAATTCTGCTGTGAAGATGCTAGCCTCCGGAGGAAGGCGACACATAAGTGTGGTCAGGAAAAACAACAGAGTAGCCCACACTGTCAGCAGACTTTGACCCGTCGGTGAAGATGGGAACTGAGTGGGAGTGAAGAAAAGTGCTCAAGGAAGAGGCGTTTCAGAACTATAGGAGGGGTAAAAGCTTTAGTGATGCGGGTCAGAGAAGTACAAAATTTGGGAAGGGGGACCCTCCACGGGGGCAAGGACGGAACAATACGAGGAGAAACATTAGAAAGACGAACCGAAAGAGAATCTTGTAAGCGAGACAAACGGACAGAAAGAGGAAGGTGGTGAAGAGGAACAGGAACTACAGGAGGGGTAAAAGTCAAAGCATGATAAAGGCCAGAGTGTGGATGCTGCAAGGATCGCGCAAGATAGTGAAGACTGTAGCGATCACGGCGGTCCTGGAGAGACACAGCCAGTGTCAGCGTACAAGCCGAGGGTAGGAGTTGAACGAAAAGCCCCAGAGCTGAGGCACAACCCAGTATGGTGCAAAGGATCAAAACGGCGAAGAAAAGAAGGAGAAGCAGAAGAGTATGCAGGGCAACCATAATCGAGTTTAGACAGAACGAGAGAGGAATGCAAATAGAGGAGCGTGCGTCTATCCACTCCCCAAGAAGTATGGGACAAAACCTTAAGTAGGTTAAGGGCCTTAGAGCATTCAACACGGAGGTAAGAGACATGGGGCGACCAAGACAAACGAGTGTCAAAGAATAACCCCAAAAACTTCGTGGAATCTTTGTACTCAAGGGGATGACCATAAAGTGACAGAGGGACGAAGAACGACCCGCTTCCGAGTAAAAGTCATGGCACAAGTCTTAGTAGTAGAGAACTAAGCCATGATTGGTGGCCCAAGATGACACGACATCAATCGCAAGTTGAAGCCGGCGCTGAAGGAGAGGCGAATCACCACCTCGACAGCAAAGAGTAAGATCGTCAACATAAAGAGCAGAGAAGATGCCAGAAGGAAGGGAGGAAAGAAGACCATTGAGGGCAACCAGAAAAAGAGTAGTACTCAGAACACTACCTTGGGGCACACCTTCATACTGCCGAAACAACCCGTTCTCGCACTTAGTCAATATCGACTTATTAAATAAGTGCATATGTGACATAGTAATTTAGTGAATATTTTAGTTTACCTTGAAAAGCTTCATAGAAAACACCGACCTTACCTAACCTTCTTAGTATGTTAAGATAAGCATCTTATTGCTTCGTAATTACAATTATTACTTAACCTATACCTATAATAGGTTAAGTCATAATTGTAATTACGAAGCAATAAGATGCTTATCTTAACATACTAAGAAGGTTAGGTAAGGTCGGTGTTTTCTATGAAGCTTTTCAAGGTGAACTAAAATATTCACTAAATTACTATGTCACATATGCACGTATTTAATAAGTCAATATTGACTATACGAAAGTGCGAGAACGGGTTGGCCGAAAAGAGGCAGAGAGTGGCACCAAGCCCGACTTGAAAGGTACAACGAGAGAGAAAGCTTTGAAAGAAGAGGGAGATTACCACGAAGGCCAAAAGAACTAAGTTGGGACAGAATATGGTATTTCCAAGTTGTGTAATAAGCCTTTTCCAGGTCAAAAAGGACAGCAACAATGGAGGTCCTCGCAGCAAAAGCAGTACGAATATAGACCTCAAAGTTTATCAGGACATCAGTCGTGCTGCGGCACTTGCGAAAACCAAATTGAGAAGGAGAGAGGTGGTGATGGTGTTCCAAGAACCACATCAGACGGACATTTACCATACGCTCAAACAGCTTGCAAACAACTCGTGAGAGCAATAGGGCGGAAGTCCTTAGGGGACGTACCGAGAGACCTTGGTTTGCGAATTGGGAGTACAACGGCATCGAGCCAGTCCTCAGGGGCGGACGACGACTCCCAGACCTGGTTATACAGACTCGGTAAATACTGAGACGTGCACGGAGGGAGATGGCGAAGCATCTCATAATGAACGTCATCTGAGCCCGCCGCCGTAGATCCGCAGAGGGCCAGGGCAGACTGAAGTTCAGAATGAGAGAAAGGATCGTTATAGGGAAGGCGGAGATGAGTGCGGAAATCTAAAGGATAAGATTCAAGAACAGGCTTACGAAGAAGAAAGGATTGAGGAAGATGAGAACCAGAACTAACAGAAGTTAAGTGGGAACCCAGTTCGGTCGCGACCTTCACTGGATCCGCCACAAGAGTACCACAGGTGGAGAACCGGCGAGACATCTGGAACGAACTTGCCCGCAATCTTGCGGATCTTCTTCCAGATCTGTTGCAGAGGAGCATCGGACGTAATGGTGGAAACATAAGATTTCCAATTCTCACGTTTAGCTGTACGGATGGTCCTACGGGCCACCGCACTTGCCTTCCGAAACAAAATAAAAGAATCAGCCGTCTGCCGGCGGCGGTGTTTCTTCCAGGCTGCACGCTTACAGTGGACAGTCCGAGCACAGTCCGCATTCCACCAAGGAACGCACTTCCGTGTACCCGGGGAGTTAGAGCGAGGAATAGAACGGAGGGCAGCGTTGAAGACTGTGTGAAAAAAAGGAGGGCGCGAGGAAGAGGCAGAGAGGAGAGGTCAGAGAGAGTAGCATGGAGGGTAAATAGGCTCCAGTCATTCTTAGCAAACTGCCACCTAGGGAAGGAGAGGGGAGGGTGGAAAGAGAAAAAAGAAACGAGGATGGGGAAATGATCACTGTTATGGAGGTCATCAAGAACCTGCCACGTGAGATCTAAGTAAAGGGACGACGAGCAGAGAGAAAGATCAAGACAGGAAAGGGTGCGAGTTCGAGAGTCCACATGAGGCTCACCAGAATTTAGAAGAGATAGAGAAGAAGCGAGGACGAACGGTTAGAGAAGACGGCCTCGGGTGTTTGTCAGAACATCACCCCAGAGGGAATGTCGACAGTTGAAATCACCCAAAAGGAGCACCGGCTCTGGCAAGGAATCCAGGAGGTGCTTAAGATCAGGAAGGGAAAGCAGGACATTTGGGGGGAGATAAACGGAACAGACTGTATACCATTTACCCACAAAAACACGGGCAGCAGAACAATGGATAGGTTACAGAAGAAGTAGGGGAACGAAGGGAATATCAGATTGAATTAAGAGCAGTAGAGTTACGGGCCCCAGCAAGAGCTGGGGGGGGGGGGGGGAAGAAAGTTATAACCACGA